CATGGCTCTGGCTCTGGAACCAGTTTCCTTGAGAGGGGCTGGACACTCTTCCACTCTGGAGTTGCCCCTGGTGAGAGGTGCCGAGCAGGAGTGGGCATACTTATTGCCCCCCAACTTGGTGCTTGTGTGTTAGGGTTCACCCCGGTGAATGAGAGGGTGGCCTCCCTCCGCCTACGTGTGGGGGGATGGGTTCTGACTGTCGTTTGTGCTTTTGCACCAAACGGCAGTTCAGATTATCCACCCTTTTTGGAGTCCTTGGAGGGGGTACTGGAAAGTGCACCTACTGGGGACTCCCTTGTTCTGTTGGGGGACTTCAATGCTCATGTGGGCAATGACAGTGAGACCTGGAGGGGTGTGGTTGGGATGAACGGCCCCCCTGATCTGAACCCGAGAGGTGTTCTGTTGTTGGACTTCTGTGCTTGTCATGGATTGTCAATAACGAACACCTTGTTCAAGGATAAGGGTGTCCATATGTGCTCTTGGCACCAGGACACCCTAGGCCACAGTTCGATGATCGACTTTGTTATCGTCTCATCTGATCTGCGGCCACATGTCTTGGACACTTGGGTGAAGAGAGGGGCGGAGCTGTCCACTGATCACTACTTAGTGGTGAGTTTGCTCCGATGGTGGGGGAGGATGCCGGTCAGACCTGGCAGACCCAAACATATTGTGAGGGTTTGCTGGGAACGTCTGGCAGAGTCTCCTGTGAGACGGAGTTTTAATTCCCACCTCTGGGAGAACTTCGAAACATGCTCTGGGAGAGGTGGGGACATTGAGTCTGAGTGGACCATGTTCCGTGCCTCTATTGTCAAGGCGGCTTACCAGAACTGCAGCTGCAAGGTTGTCGGTGCCTGTCGTGGCGGCAACCCTCAAACCCGATGGTGGACACCATCGGTGAGGGATGCTGTCAGGCTGAAGAAGGAGTCCTATTGGGCCTTTTTGGACTGTGGGACCCCGGAAGCAGCTGATAGGTACTGGCAGTCCAAGCGATATGCGGCTCGGGTGGTCGCCGAGGTAAAAACTTGGGCATGGGAGGAGTTCAGAGAGGCCAAGGAGAATGACTTCTACACGGCTTTGAGGCGATTCTGGTCCACCATCCGGCATCTCGGGGGG